GAGCAAATCCTCCAACATCTTGTCAGTTATCTCTCCTTGCTTTTGACCCGTGATTAGTCAAATCTGACTTCTGCAGCTCGTGTTGGATGCAGGGTTGTTGTTTTTTTTCCATGAAATTGGGCTGCTTTTAAACTGTTGCCATGGGTTGATTTTCCCCAGTTGGGTTAAAGGTTTGAAATATTGCATAAATTACATTTGGTTGAAATGCTTGTACTGAAACATTTTGCATTCTACCTGTAATAAAACTGTGCTAAATGTTTTGGGCCACACTAGTAGGAAGCATTTTGAGCTGTGTTTATGATAAATGTGCATAACAGTGACTAAAATATGTATTTTAGGAATGGAAATTAAATTTTTATATTTGGGACATGGTAATTGCGCTAGTTTGTGCTGTTTTTTTTTTACTGGCATGGGCTTGGAATGCACAATTAAAATAATGTAATAGTTGTGATCATTATTTTACCTTCCATGATCATTCAGACACGATCAGGTGCAGTACTGACACTCTGTCAAGTCTGCATCAAATCAAGCACTCCGTAATCCCAGGTAAACCTGTCTGATCAGTCAGGTGTTTGTCATGAGAAGTGTTCCACAAAACAGCTATGGTTTGAGTTGATGTGACAAATACATCTTTTGAATATACTGCGTGAATTGCCCCGTTAGCTCGGAGAGCTTTATTTTCCCTCCTCAATAAGTTTGCATTATTTTTCACATAATTTACATTATTACAATACCTTTCTCCCCAGGCTCCCCGCCCCTTGCTCCGTCTTTCAACAAAAACTTTTTGCCGAATACGGCAGGCACTGTACTCCTCATGTTGTGGAAGCTGTCCTCAGTAAAATGCGCAGCACACAATAGCAAATTGGGGTTATAATGCTCAGGGACAGAGTTAAAAAATAAATTGCAACCACTGTTTCCTGACATCATCCGCTTTCGGAAGCCCAAACAAAGACGTTTGGGCACGGAGGTGAAAAAAACTGCGTTTCAGGCGGTCGTGCACCCGACGAGAAGCGCAGCGTCGCGTCGCTCCACATCTTTAAAATTCAAATACATTATTTTCTATGAGTGTAGGCACACCGGCGGCGCCGTTCGGCGTCTGTCCGCGGCACCCAGCTACATCGTGTTGTACTTGTAAGAATTGTTCTAGACATGCCGAAAATTTGAAGCTACAGCAAAGCGGGCCGCTTTGTGACATCACAAAGCCCGGAAAACAAACGCTGTAGTCCAAACGAGCCATTCGTTGTAGTTCTTGAAAAGGGATTTTTTTTTAAACTAAATATCTCCCTTTGGAGTGGACTTTGAGATTTGTAACTTTCTAGATCTTTTTTTATGCCCAAACATACACACTACACACTGACTAAAATTTAAAAAGTGAAAAAGCATAATAGGACCCCTTTAAAAGGTATTAAATTTAACTCCATGATTCCTGTATATACCTATGATTTTAGTAAGGAAACATCACACAACCTTTTCTACATAAAAATCTACTTTTACAACTGTGTTGCCATGAAAACATAAAACTTAACGGCTCACTTAATATATACTGCAAGTTTTAATGAACTATGTAAGCTTCACATTTCTGCTTTTAAGTCTTTAAAAAAATGTTCCCAATGTAAGTACCTTTACTTCTCCTTTACTTCTGAAAATAAACTTCTCAAATTTATTTTTGTGGTAATCAACATAATTTACATTTATGCGCTTAACTGACTCTTTTATCCAGAGCGACTTATAATAGGGGAACATATTCCTTTATGAAAGTCTATTTTGATGCACAGTGACCACAGTTTGCCATCAGTTTTGCTAAGGTGAAATCTCATTTCTTACTGTATTTCTCAGGGAGGCCAGGTTCAGATTTTGGGCCAAATAGAGATCTGCGTTGACAGGGATTTCCAGCTGATCGACTGCGAAAAGTCAACCGAAGAAATCTGGAGCAATGACATCCCCGCAGTGGCTGTCAGTGGCCAGTCAGAGCTCAGCGTGTGTGATCACTCCATGCCGGTCTATTACCCCCCAGTGCCCAGCAGATCATAGAGGTGGGCAACCCCAGACCTCGTGTGCGAGTGTGGAATCACTGAGCATAACAAGACGAGAATTCATTCTGTCGAGTTTTTCAAACGCTGGAAATCTTTCCTGTTTACACTATCTTTTTAAATAATTGCACATTAAATTCCTTTGTTGTTTTAAATGATGATGCTGGAACAATCTAGTGAAGATTTAAGTGCGTCACAGACTGCTGTATTCTATGGTTACTGGGTTCATTTTTTATTAATCTTGTAGGTTTTACAGTCTTATCTTACTGAGCCATACTGCTGTATTTTTTTCCTTTATTTTTCGTCCTTGGGTGAATTTCACAAAAACATGTCCAGATCAAATTTACCACAAAATTTCAAGAAAAAAAAAAAAATCTTAATTAAACATGTTATACATTAGAAAAGGTTTTTAGCATTATAACACCATTTTCATGACAGTTAAACACATATCCCACCTGACCACTGTGCATCTAGACATTTAACTTTTCTCCAATTCACATTATTCTAAATGATTATCATTTAGTAGTACAGTAATTGTATTACAGTAAAACCATACAAGTATGATGTCTAAATGTTCGACAAAATAGATAATATACCACTGTTGTGTTCATAAATCAGAAAGAATTTTTTAACAATGTGCTCCATTTCCATTAAAAAAATCACAATGCAGTAATTTCAGTGATCCTTGAAGCAAACCAAATCTTTTTTATTTGATTAAGTCTTTGTTTCTTTCTTTCAGTCTAGCTTAGCTGTAATATTCTGCCTTTAATATATTTCATCTGATAAATTTGTTATTATGATTTGGATTGAAAGAGGCCATTCATGCCTTAATTTGCGTTGTTAATGTGTAAAATATGTGGTAGGTGTGGAGCTTTGGGCCTAATGGCAGCAGTTGCACATAATGCACATTTAAGCTTCTGCCGCTGGAGGGCAGCACATGCATTCTGCCCAAAAAAAAAAAATCACAATGATGTTGTTTACAGATACCTTGTTCACATGTACGTTTTATGAAAGGATGGTGGTAGTGGACTATAGGGAGAAAAGTTACAATTTGCACAAAATGTTCCGGTAAATAAACCGTGTGTTTCTGGCTTTTTAACAGTTTTTTCAAACACAATTATTAGATGACAGCCATATCAGATGTGGGCATTTGATACGCAACTCAGCTTGTGAAAGACATGCCTAATCTTTGATTTTATACTGGGGAAGCATTTATACTGCTGGCCAAAGACTTTTTATACAGTAGGTTTGTTACTTTTACAGTATTTGATAAATGCCTTACTTAAACACCAGTAACTAAAACTTTTTGTAATGCAATGCCAATTTAATAAATACAGAAAATCCAATATTCCTGTGTGTTTGAAAACTCTGTACGTGTCTTTGTGTGGCGGTACTTACAGGCCAATTCATGCGGCCTTCAGTTTGTGTCTCTGCAGTGTCCTTGTCTTGATAGAAACAACAACCGCATGTTCAAACGATTTGTGGAGTTTTTTTTTTATAAGGCCATTTAGGTGTTTCTGACTGCCAGAGCCCTGCATTAGGGAATGTGATGAGAATGACTTCTTCATTAACATGTACACATCTCTTCCTCCTCATAACCATACCTGTTTTTGTAATGCAAGGTTGTTAAGATGTTCACTGATGATTTTCTCACAGTTGGTATTTGCTGATGGTTCCACACTACACTAGGAGCAAAAGTGAAAGAACGCATGTGGAATGTGAAATTAGGAGGCTTAAAGTATATAAGATGTTGACATAAAACCTTCCAAACAGTTTGACACCAAAGCAGAAAAAAACCTGAGAATATGTGCAGCTATTTGCACCGTCTCCTGATCTATGGTGCAGAGAAATGAACCGAACCTTTTTTTGTTCATCACAATATTTTGTCTGTTACATACAGATGACTGTTCAAAAATCTAATAAGCTGTCAATGTAAGAAGCATTTTAAGACATCACTTATACAGTGAAGACATCCAAAAGGTGGAAATCTTGATTCTATACTTTTTTGGGCCAAGTTCTCAGTCAGTATTGTATGTATTCTTGGCGTAGAAGACAATTCTATGATTGAGATGCAAGTTAATTGAAATCCATCCTACCTGGGGATTACATAGGATAAAGAAGTTCTATGTTTATTTCTAAAATGGTATTTTCATTCTAACACCAATCTGTACTGAAATCAGTTGAGAGTGGAGTATTAGTATATTAATTTATATATATACACACACACAATACATATAAATAAATAACTACATGTTCATATTTTATATATATATATATATATACACACACACAAAGAAAAGCAAGTAGATAGAAAAGAAAAAATGGAAAGCTAGTGTTTTGTTTTTTTTTTAATAAAAAAGAAGATATATAAAGTAGAATTAAAATAGAGAAAAATTGACCCTTATGACTGGTTTTGTGGTCCAGGATCACATATAAATAAATAACATGTTCATGATTTAACTAAATCAATGGAATGAATTAGGTTGTGGGAACAAATTCGTGGCAACTTAATTTGAACTCCTTTGAAACCACTTGGCACACACACACACAATATCTCTTCTTGGTGAGTATAGATAAAAGCGCAACCATGTGATCCTTGACTTCACATTGGCTTCAGATTTGCCCTTCTTCTGTTGAATAAAGACAGACAGACGTCAGCTGGCTTTTAAGTCAAATGACTCGAGGGGTTCCAGGCTCAAACTTAATGGCTACAGATCAGTGCCTGGAAACCTCTCTGTCTTTCATTCATATGTGAAAAGAGCTCCGAATGTTTCTTGAGAGTGGTTTGCTGGTGGACAGTCAGGGCTGAGTCACAGCTGTCCTTCAGGCTGAAAGAGTGATGATGAGTGAAAGCTGTGTGTGTGTAGATCTGAAGCTGTGTCTCTGTCTCTTGACAGTACTTTTGCTTTACTATCTGAAGATCAGGGACCATTTGAAGTTATACAGAACCCCTCAGTGGACAGAGGTCTGAACTTCCAACCCTAGTGTGCTGTCTACTGCCTGCATAGGATGCTGTCTTATAAGGTAGCAACGCAATGTGCCATACAAATATACTGTATTCAGTAAAGTATTAGCATGTTAAACTAACAATGTAATAGAAATACAAATAGAATACAGATATTGTAAACATTTGAACTTTTGAATTTTAAAAATGAACTGGAGTAAAAAGTGTGATAATTATGCTGCGTTCAAGTCCTCCTGGGACGTTCGTACTTACGAGTTGACAAGTCGTAATTACGACGTCAGGTGCGTTCAAGTCAGTTTAGTCAAGTCAACCTTCTTTTAATAAATTACAAGAAAATACAACAGGGTCTGCATTTTTTTACTTGGATTTCAGCTGCGTAACAAGAACATGACCAATTTAAGTTTATAGGACAACTAAACTATTAATTTAAACAAAAATTTACCATCAACTACATACGTTGCATCCATGGATTCCACCATGATTCTCATTGACACGCCCCCAACTCGGAAACTCGGGGCTTAAAGAAAATTTCGAGTTTCCCACTCGTAATAACGACTTTGTGGTGGCGTTCATGTGCGTTCAACTCGTAAATACGATCTATCCGACATGACTTGAACGCACCATTAGCCCTTTATGGAGCTAGTCTCCTTTATAGCGCTTGTATTAAACCAATATGCAGTGTTGGTCAAAGTTACTTTTAAAAATAATGCATAACAATACTGTGTTGCTCCATAAAAAAGTAACTACTTGTGTTACTTAGTTACTTTTTTTGGAAAGTAATGCATTACATTACTTTTGCGGTACTTTTTGTCACCTAGGCTGGGCTTACTTATTTGTTGTTGTTGTTTTTTTTTAAACAAAAAACTCTTTTTCGTTGTTAACTTAAAGGTAATGCGTTACTTTAGTAGTTAATTAAAAAAAGTAATCCGATTACAAAACCTGATTGCCTCCGACACTGCCAATATGCAATGTTTAATTGTTATTTAATACATTTTAATTATTTAATGATGTTTTATTAAGTAACAGAGATGTTACTTAAAATATGACGTTTGGTTTACAGAATAAGATTTCTCTGAACGATTGGAGCCAGATATACAATTGAAATAAGTTGTGTACGAAATGAAGGTGTGCAAACATCTTTACACAGAAACCTGCCAAATCACTATGTCTTTTTAAATAAAGGAAAGAAGTGGCTTTTAACAGATTATTTGCAAAAGTTTGTGAACGCGTGGAACATTTAGCTTTTTTTCAGTTAACTGATCTGAACATGTCTGCTCTAGATTTCACAGTATCTGCCCTGCTGTAAAACCACAGTTAACCTCACCTAATCCCTTAACTTTAAATCATAGACGATGAGGGAGAGCTTTGAAGATTTTCAGACAAATCCTTTGGTGAACTAGAAAAATGACATACAATAGAACTGATTTTCTCATCACTAAAATTGTACAGGAACTGGATACCAGTTTCCGATGCTGGTTATGAACAATTATTTAATTTTTTCACTTTGTTTTTGTAAAATTAGCCCACACCCACAAATAAGATAACAAAATCTAAATTAGTACAAGCCTGGCTGCACAATGGTTCTTTTAGATCGGGGTCTTCAACCTTTTTCAGATACTTTTGCAGCACAACTACACTCAAAAAAATGCTGGGTTAAATACAACCCAGTGCTGGGTAAAATGGGGACAAACCCAGCAATTGGGTTGTTTTGACCCAGCGGTTGGGTTACTACCCAGAAGGTTGGGTTAAACATTTAACCC